CGCCACGTGCTCGACGAAATCCGAACCCCATCCCCGCCGCCCATCGGGTTGCCCGCACCGTGGATCCAGAAGAAGAAGCAAAAACGCCATAAGGATAAACATCTGGCGCTCCACAAGGATCTCTTGGATCCGAGAAACCCGCGCGGAGCGCCACAAAAGTTTATTTAGGTCGGGCATGTCCCCCTACAGGCGGATTTTGGATGAAAAATGAAGAGTAATCAAACATAATCAAAACAATCCCAAAAATACTGTTAAAAAAGCGTCGCCAGACTATTCTTGAACTGCTTTTGAATATTCCTCTTGTAGAAGGACACGCCCGACTCCAAAAGTGTGTGCCTGTGGCGGCTTCTCGTCTCCGAGGATCGGTGAGGGCAGGGCTCGGATCCCGACGCCGAGAAGGGCACCGGGGCCCCGGTTGGCGAGCGACTCGTCGTAGTTGCAGCCCCAGAACGCCGCGTCCTCGCGCAGCCTGGCAGGGGAGCCCAACATCGAATCGACGAGTCGGATCGGCGATCGAAATGAATCGGATCGGCGGAAATCGGAAGGAGAGTGGGGGTAAGTGGAATGGGCAAAAATCGGCAGGCTGCTGTAGGCCTCCCTTGAGGAAATCGGAATCCCAAATCGGAATCTGAAGCCGAACCGAATCGGAATCGGGGGCCATCAAAGTCGAAGTCGAAGTCGAATCGGAGGAGTCGAAACGAGCCATGGCCTTAGGTCAGGCATGTCCCCCTACTGGCGGATTTTGGGGGAAACTGAAAAACAGCCACAAAATACTCAAAAGCAGTCAAAAAATTGTCGAAAGATCGTCCCCAGACTATTTTCTGTCTACTTTTGAACATTCCTCCTGTAGAGGGACACGCCCAACTTAACCCTTCGGCGACTCCAAAGGGTGTGGTTTGCAAAGGGTGTGGTTTGCAACCCGCACCCTGGGGAACATCCTGGGGCGCACCCCAGGGGGCGCGCGGGGACCTCGACAGAGCTCTCCCGCGCCCCGAGGAGGCTCGACGAGGACAGCGTCGGCCCCCCCAAGCCCCAACGGTGCCGATTGCAAACCAAAACCCAGCGTAACCATACCCTTTGTCATGATAAAACAATGCGGTGCCCTCGGAAGTCCCGACCCTCTCCCCCGGATCGGTTCTTCATCCCCAGTCGTTGATCGACCTGCTCTGGGGTCTTGAGAGCGTCAGAGTGTGGTACAGCAGGGGCCCCTCCACGAGAAACCGTCCAAAGGAAACCAAACCCTGAGACCTAGAGAGCAGAAAATCCACGCCCATAATAAGCACCCCGACAAGCGAAGCCGTCTAGTAAACGCACCCATGGAAGGAATCGAACATGGAAGGGCCGTTTAGCAGACGCCGATTGTCTGGTCCGGGTGTTTGTTCCTCCCTTGACTGAGACCCCCCAGGAAGTCCGTAGACTTAAGTCGGGCCTGTCCCCCTAAAAGGGAATTTTCGACGGAAAATGAAAGGTACCACAAAAATAATCACAAAAAAATCCAAAAGTAGTCTGGGGACTATCTTTTGCGTCTTCTGTTACCGTTTGGGGGTCTTTTGGGGGTACTTCTTATTGTTCGTCGAAAAGCCCTCTGTATGGGGGAGACGCCCGACATGAGCGCAGACTCTTGGTGCGGGAACGACGCGCTCTCCGAGGCCCGCTGCCGGCCTGGCGAGGACCCGCTGCCGCGGCCTGCCCTTGCCGGCCCCCTTGCCGCGCCGCTCCTGGCCGACGCGGGCGTCCTCGGCGGGGCGCCGGCGCGGGGCGGCGGCGCGCCCACGGGGGGGGGGGGCCCGGGAGGGGCGGGGAGGCCCCGGGAGGCTCAGTGTGCTGTTGTGTGTTTGCTTTGAGTTCCTTTTGTTGTGTGCTCGTTTGTTCGTGTTGCTGGATGGCCGTTTCTGCTCGTCGGTGGTCCTTGCTGGTTGTCTGCTTGTTCGTCTGCTTGTTGTCTGGCTGCTTGGTTGGTTGGTTTGCTTGCCTTGCTCTTCTGGCCTGTGGCCTTCTGAGAAGCTTCCTGAGCCTTCTCCGAAGACGCCGAAGGCTCCTCGGGAGGCTGGAGGGCTTTCTGAGAAGCCCCGCCGCCAGCCGGGAGGGCCTGCCCCTTCTCGCTTCCCCCCCGGGAATGCCGCCGAGGTTCGTGTCGTGACGACTTCGGCGGTGGCTTCTTAGATCACGTGGGTCCGTTCCACCTTGAACTATCGACAACTTTCCGATCGCCAGGCTGTTCCATGTTGGCCGATTCCAGGCCAGTGGCTGCGCTCAGCCGTGAACGCCGCCGCCGTAACCGTGCGCAGCTGCATAACCCGATCGGACAAGAACGGGAAGTGCCGAGATTATCCATGGGGCTCATACAGTCGGGGCGTTGACCTAAGAAACCCTAAATAAGGAACGAGGCCCCTGTTTTCCATAAGTTAAACTTCGATTTCCTGTCGAAAACATAAGGAAAACCTGAGGCAAGCTGTGAAACAATCAAGGAACATCGAGCCCCTCCCCAACGAAAAGGGTTCCTTCTTCAAGACCCCTACTGTATGGGGGGAGAACAAGAAATGTATGATGGCGACGACAAGGCGGCGGATGACGAGGATGACAGCACGGGTGACGGGGAGGGCAGCGAGGGCAGAACAACCAGTAGGATGACAGGCACGAGCGCAAGGACGAGGAGGAAGTGATGGAGGAGGACGAGCACGAGGAGCAGCGAAGCGGAAGGAGGAGGAGGAGGAGGACAACGAAGGAGGACTGTAAGGAGCCCGAGGAAAAGGATGCCGAAGAAGGAGTGGTCCTGGTGATCGGTTGAGGCTACCCTGGGGGCTGTTGGGGCCGTTCGGGGCTATCTGGGGGCATCCCGGAGGACTCTTGGGGGCCTGTCGGGATCCTCTTGGGGGCTTCTGGGGACTTCTTGGGCGCGTCGTAGGCGTGTCTGGGCGCGTCTTAGGGTTCTGTGGGGACTCGCTCAGGCCGTCTTGGCGTCATCATGGGCTGTCTTGGGCCGTCTGAGGGCCTCCTGGGACGCTCGTAGGAGCCTCTTGGGGCCCTCTTTGTGTCCTCTGGGGGGCCTTTTGGAACTCTGTTAGGTCGTGTAGAAGCCCTCCCTTAGAAACTCCAAGATGATACTGGTTTGGAGCCCTCTCCAAAGCCGATGTTCAGAGAATGTCTCATGCGAAACGGCAAGTGGCTCGGAAACCTGTCCTGACATGAACGGGAAGCGCATGACATCGAAGAGTTTGGAAAGACCTTGCGCCAATATTGAGATCAACTGTCGCATAGGTGCTCTTCCGGCACGTTCACCGCGAAAATTCAGACGTGGAGCTGAACTGGCGCAGGTAGTAAACTATCCCTGGCCGAAGTCCTGCCCCTCTGAGGCAACCCGTGTGCCATTTTCATGTTGAACGGGGAACGCGTGGAATCGATGAGCTGCGCAAGAACATCAAGATCAACTGTGCCGTAGGCGCGCCCCCAAAGTCAACAAGGAAAAGAGGTAGAGCTCACGAGCCGCAATTGTTCAGACGGTGCGCTGAACATACGTATGTAGTAGATAGTGAACTGGCCCTGGCATTGGTCCTCATCCTCCTGCTACCACTCGTCCTCATCCGCCGCCTCGCCGTTGTCTCTGCCTCCTCACCCTCGTCGCCTGCCTCCTCCGCAGACGACAGGCGCAGATTACTACCCGCGCAAGTTCAGGAAACCACAAAATATCAAAGGGAGCCCGCGAAACCATCGGAAGAACCACCACAAGCGTCCGCTGTACTTCAAGCCCCTTGAATGAAACGGATGACGTCACAATATATATATATATATATATGCTCTGCTGTTGTTCGTACTCTCCGTCATCGTCGTCGTCGTCGCCGTCGTGATCGTCATCGTTGCCATTTTCATCGCCATCGTCATCGTCATCATCATCACCATCATCATCATCATTATCAACTATCCTCATCATCATCATCCTCATCATCAGCATCAGCATCAGCATGATCATCAGCATCAGCATCATGATCATCATCAACATCATCAGCATCATCATCAGCATCATCATCATCCTCATCATCACGGATCTCCCGTACCTGGAGACACCAGGCATCACGCATGACGGTCTCCAGTGCCCCCTCGAGCAGTCGGCGCCCAGAATGCTGGGCTGGCACGGTGGCGGGGCATGCCGCAGGTAGCTGGATAACCCTTGAACAACAAAACAAACGAAGGACCCCGTGCCTAACTTCCTGCCTGCTTCTCCTCCTCCTCCTCCTCCGCCTCCTCCTCCGCCTCCTCCTCCTCCTTCTCCCTCCTCCTCCTCCTCCTCCTCCTCCTCCTCCTCCTCCTCCTCCTCCTCCTCCACGTCCTCCTCCTCCTCCTCCTCCTCCTCCTCATCATCATCATCATCATCATCACCACCTGCTCCACAATAGTGGAGTTGCGGACGGCTGGGCGCAGAGGCGGCACCAGTCGCCCACAGGCCCAAATGCTGACTTGTGATGGCAGGTTGGAGTGCAGTTTCGTGAACGGGATGAGGCATCAGTTGTTGTGTTGTTCATCAACTCACATTTGACAGTGCAGGAGTTTTCCAGATGCAACGCTCCAGCATGGATGGTGCAAGGAAACACTATTGCCGATATTCTCGCCAGGGCTGCCGTCGATCGTGTCCGAGTCCCCGAGGATGTGAGGTTCGCGTGTCATGATAAAGAACGTAGAGCTTTCCTAAGTCGTCTGAGATTGTTAAGAGCAACTGTTGATACCTTGGAATGTGAGAAGGAGCTTGCGGGAGATGGGCCCAGGAGGAAATCTGAGCAGCCACCCCCCCCGCTCCCTCAGCTCTGCGAGTTTTCACCACCACCCACATCTAAGCAGATTGTGGACGCAGATGCCTTAGTGTTGTAGCTCCGCTACCCTAGCCACTCGTGCCGTGTGGATAGACAGGCCGTGTTTTGAACCCAGTAATATTGACGGGGTTCTGTTCGGGCTGCCAACAGGGGTACAACTGCATATTGCAAGGGGGTTGGTGCATAGTAGTCATCGGATGCGTTGACCCAGTAATATTGACGGGGTTCTGTTCGGGCTGCCAACAGGGGTACAACTGCATATTGCAAGGGGGTTGGTGCATAGTAGTCATCGGATGCGTTGACATAAGGGGCTCAAGTTGTGGTTTTGTTGCTTGTGTGGGCATCCCGCCAGTCAGTGTTTGAGAGGCCTCGGGCAACCGTGTCATGAGGCCACGAACCCCAATCGAGCCATATATCTTGCCAATATTCTCGCAGGACGCTGGCCTAAGGTCCGCACCCGAGCAGAGTTGGCTCGTCGGGCTTCGTAATCCACCGAACTCGCTTCGCGACTGTCGTCACTCACTCACTCACTCACCCACTCACTCACTCACTCACTCACTCACTCACTCACTCACTCACTCCTCCTCCTCCTCGTCCTCATCCTCGTCCTCCTCCTCCTGCTCCTCCTCCCCCATCTCTTCCCTTCCTGTCCGCTTCGGCACCAATTCTGCGAGGGCGGGGCCAGAGGGGTCACGAGCCCTCGACCCCGCCCCTCGCGCGGCGGCCGTCCCCGCCCGCCGACGATGGAAAGAAAACGATGTAAACATAGAACTTCTGGAGGTCCGCGCGGATTTCTTGGATCGGCGTTGGACCCTGCTGGCGGCGCCTCCGGTGCCGCCCCTGGCGCGCTCTGGGGCCCCAGCGCCGATCCGAGAAGTCCGCGCAGACCTCCGCAAGTCTATGCTGGTGCCCTGCTCCTTCTTCGAGACGAGGACCCCCCCGGTCTCAGAGGAGCAACGAAGACCCCCGCGACGCGACTTGTAAGCCCGGGGGGGGGCCTGCGTCTCTCCGGCGCACATGGGGGGCTGGCAGTCCAGGCGAGGCAATTCGAAGGCCGCCTTGGGACGAAACGCCGCAGCGGCCGGGAGGATGGCCGAGGTGCGGGGCTTCGGGAGGATGGCCGAGGTGCGGGGCGGGGAGCATGGCCGAGGTGCGGCGGCCGGGAGCATGGCCGAGGTGCGGGGCCGGGAGCATGGCGGGGCTGGCAACCTGCATACATACCTATACGACCACCCTGCGGGTGATAAGGAGGTGAGGGGGGAGGGCGAACCAACGTCTCACTCAATCGATCTCGCTATCGATCTCACAATCGATCTCACATTCGATCTCACTATCGATATCACTAGCGATCTCGCTATCGATCTCACTATCGATCTCTTAATCGATCTCACAATCGATATCACCATCGACGTCATCATCATCATCATCATCATCATCATCACCATCATCATCATCATCATCATCATCATCATCATCATCATCATCATCATCACCATCATCACCATCATCACCATCAGCATCGCACAATCGATCTGATTATCGATCTCACAGTCGAACTCCCAATCGATCTCATAATCGACGCCATCATCATCATCATCATCATCATCATCATCATCTTCATCATCATCATCATCATCATCATCATCACCATCATCACCATCAATACCATCATCACCATCATCACCATCATCATCTCACAATCGATCTGACTATCGATCTCACAATCGATCTCACTATCGATCTCACAATCGATCTCACATTCGGTCTCACTATCGATGTCACAATCGATCTCACAATCGACGTCATCATCATCAACAACAACACGAACATCATCATCATCATCATCATCATCATCATCATCATCATCATCATCATCATCATCATCATCATCATCATCATCATCATCATCATCATCATTATCATCGCCATCATCACCATCATCATCATCACCATCATCATCATCATCATAATCATCCACATCATCATCGGGACACCGACGGGACACCGACGGGACACCAGCGGGACACCGGCGGGACACCGCGCGCCACCGGCCGCCCGGAAGAGACACATTTGGTCCGGCCGCGCCTCAGCCACAAGGACACCGACGGGACACCAGCGGGACACCGGCGGGACACCGCGCGCCACCAGCCGCCCGGAAGAGACACATTTGGTCCGGCAGCGCCTCAGCCACAGGGACAACGACGGGACACCAGCGGGACACCGGCGGGACACCGCCGCGCACCCCCGGCCGCCCGGAAGAGACACATTTGGTCCGGCCGCGCCTCAGCCACAGGAGACTTTCCTCTCGCCCGCCCACGCAGCTTCGCCTCGCCCGCGCGCACGGCACGCACGAACACGAAACCGAAATCGATTTCCCGGTAAGGGGGCTCTCCGTTCCACTTCGATCTGACCCCCTCACCTCCGATATATATATATATATATATATATATAAATATATATATATATACACAGATATATATATATATATATAAGGTGCGCGACGGTCCCAGGCCCCCCCGGTGCTCACAGCCCGTGAACGGGAACCCATCGGGAGGGGGGCCTCACCTCGAGTCGGGCCTGTCCCTCTACACTAGGGATATCCAAGAAGTCACAAGATAGTCTGGGGACGATCTTCGAGTATTTGTCTACTATTTTTGCATACTGATTGAACAAATGTTTGATTTATCGTCCAAAATCCGCCTGTAGGGGGACGTGCCCGACCTAAGCCTGACCCTTGGGGGGCAGCACGCCTGAGCGGCAGCACGCCTGTTGGTCCCGCCGGTCCTTGCAGAGCGAGCGGAGCTTCGAGCACACCTCCCTGCAGGCCCCGTCGATCTGCCGCAGTTTGTGCATCGAGATGACCGCCGCATCCTCCTGAGGCAGCTTGCGCTTCAAGTACTGCGAGAACAGCCTGAGGCCCGCTACACATCACACCCTAGTCGTCATCATCGTCCTCGTCCTCGTCATCATCACCGCCACCGCCATCATTATCATAAACCTCGTCGTCATCAACAGCTGCATCATCATCAGCATCATCATCACCATCATCAGCATCATCAGCATTATCATCTTGTTGACACTACCATATCCAGGCTCGTTGACATCATCGTCAATCTTCAGATTCGATACATTCGAACCTAACCATTGTTTTCACTATTGCAATCAACCCATCAGTACCATCATGGCCGTATCCACATACTCATCATCAACGGCGTCGCCGCCATCTCCGAAACAATCTATAGCTCCGCTTTCGCGGTGCTCTTCCACCAGGCGCCACACTTACGCCAAACGTCCATACCACATTGCGGTGGGGATGCCTTTTACGTTGCACCATGCTTTTCCCCGAAAAGAACTCGCACTCCAACGCGTCCAAGTACCTGTAGGACTGCCCTTCGTGTGAGAAGAACGTGGGGGGGAGGGTTGCAGCTTTCAGTTTGCAGTTGGCGCCGGATCATATTCGCAATATGTTTCCGATCTGGCGATCTGTCTAGCGATCGCACTGTGTAGCGATTGTTCTCATAACCCATCGATCTCACGAATTGCCGACGTCGATCCAAATTCGCCGGCCCAACGGGCCAGATGCGTGCTAAGATCTCCGGTAACTTGTTAACAATATTTCTAGTTCGCGCGCGCGGAGCGGCCCCTGGGGGCCCCCGGACGAAAAGTACCCCGGCAAGGTCCCGAGAGAAGCCCGGGAGAAGCCACCAGACCACTCCAGGGGAGGGTATTTTTCGACACCCCTCCCGAGGATCGTGGCCTCCGAGGGGGGAGCCGCAATCGACTACCCCCAAGAGCCCCCCAAGAGGCCCTGGGGGCCTCAAAAACGCCGCCAAGGAGCCCCAAGAGACTCCCAAGAGGTCCCCAAGAGGCCCCCAAGAGGCCCTAAAGAGGGCTCCAGGGCCGGCGGCATGAGCGAAGCGATTAAATATATGTAGGTACCGATCAGGACACGTATTGGTAGCACTGTACATATCCGCCAGCGCGCGTCGTCCTCACTCCTGAGGAGTCATTTTGGAAAAATTCTGGAGGGTAGATGACGAGACAGAGGATGTGATGGAGGAGAGGGAGAAGCATGCATGAGTCGGGGATGGACTGAACCCCCTCAGCAAAACGCTGTTTAGCAAAGACGACTTCGGGCCCAAGCCTGGCGGGCGCAAGCCTGGAAAATCACTGCCGCGGCGCCCTCTCGGAAACCGAAAACGGACAATTCACGCATCGACGTGTCAGGGTGGGGGCTCTGTCCACCCCCGACAGTAGGGGCCCGACCACAAGAAACCTTCCACAGGAAACCCAACCCTGAGGCCCCAGGACGTCGATCGATGTTTGGTGTGGGAACGTCGCAAGCTTTCCGTAACAAAAGCACGGAAACCCGAGGAACCCAGGGCACCATGGATGCAAGCAGGGCCATTCTTGGCATGGGTGGCGGTTCTGTCCACCCCGAGATTAAGGAATGCCACGAGGGGTTTCGCGCGTCGTCGTCGTCGTCGCCAGGTCCTTGTGAGATTTAGAAACGAACAGGGAAAAGAAACGTCGTAGTTCAGTCAATTCCCTCCCCTTTTCCCATCCCTGACGGGGGGGGGTACGGGGGGGTCAAGCTTCCCACCCGCCCGCAAGCCGTCTTGCTCACTCCCACCCGCCCTCCCGACACATACGTAGCACCCGGGAGTCAGCATATCGCGTAAGAACGCCGCAGACGCCGCGGGTTCCAGATGCACCTGGCTATGGAGGCCCAAGCGTGCAAGGCGCGCCAGGTGCGGCACGTGCTCCAAGTGCTCCAGCCGCGCCAGGTGCGCCAGCCACTGGGAACCAATAGGGGCTCCACCTGCGTGCGCCGCAACTGTTGCTACGCCAGCAACTGCGCACGCCCCGGCGCACGCTTGTGGCTGCTGGCTACCGCGCGTGGCCCCCCCCATCCACGCATGAGAAACAAACGTGCGAGAAGGGCAGCAGCCACTGATGTGTCAAACTAGTCGGTCGACCACCTGCACCCATATGGCAGGTGGGATCTGCTGGCACCCCAGCCGCCCCTGTAAAATACCTATACAAAATGGCCGCGGTGCGGCCGCGCATGCTACAGATGTGGAGGCAAAGTGCGTTTTGTTACCCAACAGCTTTTGCTGATAGGTTTCTAGTGGTCTCAAAAGAGAGCATCTTGACGCCCCACAGGGGGGTCTGGGCGGGGCCCAGACAGGGGATCCGGCAGGATGCGGCAGCCCCAGGAATCCTTAGGAATCCTTACGAATTCTTAGGAATCCTTAAGAATCCATTCCCAGGCCACCATTCCCAAGCCACATTTTGAATGCCCGGAGCCAACTGTAGGCCACTTCGTGTTCTTCGTGTTCCCAGAACACCATTCCCAGGCCACATTTTGAATGCCCGGAGCCAACTGTAGGCCACTTCGTGTTCTTCGTGTTCCCAGAACACCGTTCCCAGGCCACATTTTGAATGCCCGGAGCCAACTGTAGGCCACTTCGTGTTCTTCGTGTTCCCAGAACACCGTTCCCAAGCCACATTTTGAATGCCCGGAGCCAACTGCAGGCAACTTCGTGTTCTTCGTCTTCCCAGAACACCATTCCCAGGCCTCATTTTGAATGCTTGGAGCCAGCTGTAGGCCACTTCGTGTTCTTCGTATTCCCGGAACACCATTCCTGTACCATATTTTGATTGCCCGGAGCCAACTGTGGGCCACTTCGTAATCTTCGTGTTCCCAGAACACCAGTCCTGTGCCATATTTTGAATGCCCGAGCTGAGGCAGGCTGAGGCTGTGGATGAGGCTGAGGCCGAGGCAGGCTGAGGCTGAGGCTGAGGCACGCCGAGGCAGGCTGAGGCTGAGGCTGAGGCAGGCTGAGGCTGAGGCAGGCTGAGGCTGAGGTCGAGGCAGGCTGAGGCTGAGAGGCTGAGGCAAGCCGAGGCAGGCTGAGGCTGAGAGGCTGAAGCCGAGGCAGGCCGAGGCAAGCCGAGGCAGGCTAAGGCTGAGGCTGAGGCTGAGGCTGATGCAGGCTGAGGCTGAGTCAGGCTGACGCTGAGGCGAAGGCAGGCTGAGGCTGAGGCAGGCTGAGGCTGAGGCCTCAGCAGGCTCAGGAGGCTGAGGCAGGCTGAGGCTGAGGAAGGCTGACGCTGAGGCTGAGGCAGGCTGAGGCTGAGGCTGAGGCTGATGCAGGCTGAGGCTGAGAGGCTGACGCTGCGGCTGAGGCAGGCTGACGCTGAGGCTGAGGCCGAGGCAGGCTGAGGCTGAGGCTGAGGCAGTGGCTAAGGCTGAGGCAAGCTGCGGCTGAGGCAGGCTGAGGCTGAGGCTGATGCAGGCTGAGGCTGAGGCAGGCTGAGGCTGAGGCTGAGGCAGGCTGAGGCTGAGGCTGAGGCTGAGGCTGAGGCAGGCTGAGGCTGAGGTCGAGGCAGGCTGAGGCCGAGGCTGAGGCAAGCCGAGGCAGGCTGAGGCTGAGAGGCTGAAGCTGAGGCAGGCTGAGGCTGAGGCTGAGGCTGTGGCTGAGGCTGAGGCAAGCTGCGGCTGAGGCAGGCTGAGGCTGAGGCTGATGCAGGCTGAGGCTGAGGCAGGCTGAGGCTGAGGCTGAGGCAGGCTGAGGCTGAGGCTGAGGCCGAGGCAGGCTGAGGCTGAGGCAAGCCGAGGCAGGCTGAGGCTGAGGCTGAGGCTAATGCTGAGGCAGGCTGAGGCTGAGACGGCTGAGGCTGAGGCTGAGGCAGGCTGAGGCAGGCTGAGGCTGAGGCCGAGGCAGGCGAATCCTTCGGAATCCTTAGGATTCCCTAGGAATCCTTAGGAATCCTAGGAATCCCTAGGAATCAGGATTCCTAAGGATTCCTAAGGTTTCCTAAGGATTCCTATGGATTCCTAAGGATGCCTAAGGATGCCTTAGGAATCCCTAGGAATCCTTAGGATTCCATTGGATCCTAAGGCCGTTGCCACTGCGACTGTCATTGCGAATGCGACTGCGACTGCGAGAACAGCAGAATTCTACAACTGGATTCTCACCTGAATCTTACGGGGAATGCTTCCAAATATGCTTATACACATCGCTGTTAGGTTGCTTTGCCAGGATAATTTTGTTTTTTGACAGGGATGGTGGGGGGGGGCCCTCATGGGGTCGTCATGGTTCTGGGTTGGCCGCCGGCCGGGTGAGTGGGGGGGGTTATACTGATAGGTAACAGTGAGATACGGGAGGGGATTTAGGAGGAGGAGAAGGAAAGGGAGGGGCGGAGGAGGAAGGGAGGAGAAGGGGCAGGAGGATAAGGGGCAGGAGGAGGAGAGGGGGAGAAGGAGAAGGAGGGGGGAGGAGGAGGGGGGAGGAGGAGGAGGAGGGAGGAGGAGGAGAGGAGGAGGAGGAGGCGGGGAGGAGGAGGAGAGGAGGAGGAGGAGAGGAGACGGGAGGGGAGGGGAGGTAGGACGAGAAGGGGCAGGAGGGGAGAGGAGGGAGGAGGGAGGGGAGGAGTATGAGGAGGAGAATGGAGGAGGAGGTGGCGGAGGATGGCCAGGCGCAGGTTACCGCCCACCCCCCCCCCCCCCCCCCGAGGGGGCCCCGGCGGCCCGCTCCCCGCCCCCGCGCGGTCCACCCTGTGGAGAAAAGAGGCACAAGGGGTGCTCTCCCCGTTGGCAGGGGAGCTCAGGACTCCTCCTCCTCCGTCCTCCTCCTCCTCCTCCTCCTCCTCCCCAGCTCCGGCCCCGGCCCCGGCCAGGACCCCAAGACCGCTCAATGCCCCCCAAGGGGCGCAAATGCGTCCCCAGGAAGCGTTGCAACGGTTGGCACCGACCCTCGTCGAGGCAGTATCCCTAACACCCACGGACAGCAAAATCTGCGTGCAAGCTTCCCCCCTGGGGGTCCGCCGTGACTCCCGCTCTGCGGGCTCAAGAGACAACCTTACTGGGGCTATAGCGACTGTTAAGGCGAATATGGTAAATCATTCCTGAAAGACAATATTCCACTCCTGAGGTGACGCATATGTTCGCGCTCGCGCGCGGAGACTCTTCCGATTGTGTCGGGCCTGTCCCCCACCAGGGAGATTTTAGTCGAGAACTTCAACGTACTCAAAGAATAATAAAATCATCAAAAGTAGTCAAAAAATCCGCCCAACATTACTTTGGGGCTATTTTTGAATTTCCACCTGTAGAGGGACAGGCCCGACTCAAATCCAGTTGCTTACGCTCGAGACAGAAAGGGCGCCGGCGTGCGGGACCAGAGTTTCCTCATGACGGTTCTCCACCCTGTGACGGAGTCCAACTGAGTCCAATGGAACCTGATGGAGTCCGAAGGAGTCCAGTGGAGCCCAATGGAATCCAGTGGAGTCCAATGGAATCCAATGGAGGCCAAACGAAGTCCAATGGAATCCTGTAGAGTCCTATGAAGTCCTATGGAGTCATTTTTCGCTAATTCGATTTTCGATTAGGAGCCAGAGCTGGTATATATTTGGTGGTCATCACCATCATCGTCGTCGTCACCGTCATCCTCACTGACGCCATTTCCTTGCCATGTACACCACTCAACGTCATCGACTCTTACAGCATCGTCGTCACCGCAATCGTGGTCCTTCCATATCAAGGGCGGGGGCAGCCTGAGGCCCACCACTGGCTCGCACAGGTAACCGTCGTCATTTTGCTTCAGAAGGCGGGCCACTCTCACGAGCAAGCCCAACGTCTTTCTGTCCCACACCAGGGAGTCCTCCGCCTTCTGCTCCTCTGGGTCGACCATGATCAACCTCTCGAAGAAGAGGGTGACGGGTCTGTGGCGAAGCAGCTCGATAATTTGCACCTCCTGCAGGGCTGTTATCCTCACCCTGCCCCCGACTTCGGTGTAGATCTCGTTGAGGTAGTCGTCCACCAACACTCCGTTGCTCTCCGCCCAGCTTCCCTCGATCACCCGGCGGACCTGCCAGCCCTTTCCTGGCTCGCGCTCGTGAAACTTGCAGAAAACGATGCCAAGCTTGGTGATTCCCGGATCTGACAGCTCGACGAAGGTGAACTCGACTTTCGTCTGCCGCCCCAGATCGATCGGCTCGCCCTCTCTGGCGGCCCCTCGATTCATCACGTCGTGCGGCACCTGGAAGATCTCGCCCTTGCCACACACAGTGTGCACGGCCGCCAGGGCGATCGCCATGCGGGTGCAGTTGAAGATGGCACCGCAGTAGACCAGGCGGGCCAGGCGGGGGCCAAGGACGGCGATACAGACTGCGAACTCTCCGAAGGCGGTCAGCGCCCAAGCGTCGTTCTTGCCCTTGCACAAAGCATCCATATCCTCGAGACGGGCTATGGCCAAATCCATCTGCTCCTCGCCGGGCCGCTGCACCAGCATCCGTAGTAATTCGCGGACCTCCATGCCGAGGAAACGCACCAGCGTCCTCGTGATCAGCAATATCGTTCTGTCCAGGTTTTGCTGAGCGCCCCAGTTGTCGACAGCAGGCATGTTATCCCACGTAATCTTCGGATACAAGCGGTAGACCTTGCCAGGCTTCGTGCGGCCGACGCGTCCCTTGCGTTGTGTGCCAGAAGTCTTCGAAGCGAGCCTTGTCGTCAGCTGCTCCATCTCCAGTACCTGGTCGAAGACTGAACCGCGGGCTAAACCAAAGTCAAAGACCACAGAGAGCTCTGGCAAGGTAATAGAAGTCTCGGCGATCGCGGAGGCGATGTACGCTGTCGGAACCGTAGGATTCAGCGGAGTCCTCACCTCGCTAGACTCTGCAAGCGTGATGGAGTGCAGAATGACTATATCTATCGAGGCTCCACACTCTCGAAGCCTCTTCTCCAATACGCGGGCGAAATGCTCGATCTCGGAGATCCCTGGCAAGAAGACGAGCGCATTGAGGTCTGGTGAGCAGCACTCGTGCATAAGCAAGATGGCACACAGCTCGAGCATGGCCGGCTCCGGCCCGAGGCCTGCACTGTGCTTCTGCGTATTGAAGGGCACGGGCCCCTTGTGGGCCGCGAACTCTGGAATGCCAAGCTCGTGCACATCATCGAGGTAAATGATCTCGACTGGAAAAGGAGTTTCGATCGCCAAATCCAGGAGGGTCTCCGCCACGTTTGGCGGATCGGTGCGGGGCGGGCGCCCAAAATGCAGCTTCAGAGGGCGGCCCTTCAGCAGCGCCTGGATCTCGGGATTCGGCAGGTCCACGACCGAACGATCGTCAATCTCGCTCAAGAAGTCGCCCACGCGGACAGAGCCGAACGCGACGCTCCATGGCCGCACCTCACGAATAGTCCACTTGTTGCCGCCTTCCTCGCTCTCGTACTTGAACACCAAGCCGAGCGACGGCCCCGCGTCCTCCGGGACGAGCACCTGCCTCCTCTTTCGCCTGGCGGGCTTCAGAGCTCATGGGCGCGTTTGCTCATACACGCGCGTTTCGACTTACGACTGCCCCTTTTCAAAAATGAAACGAACACACAAGGATCCCAAATCCTTTGGGACGGGACAAGTGTGAAGAGGGCCCAAAAAAAATGGCAATGGGGTCTTTCACCACATCCTGAGTGGGCTTCTTGTTGTTTCTGGACACCCCACGCAGCAATCCTCCTTATTCCATTTTTTCCTCGCACACTCACACACCCTCATCATCGCCATCATCGTCATCATCGTCATCATCTTCACCACACTCATCACAATCGTCACTTCTCGGCTCCTTTGGACGGAATATGGACGAGGTCTCGAGCAGGAGTTCTGTGCGTGTGAGTGAAAGGCCCCTCCCTATGGGGTCCGCATATCACGTTGGCAATCAAAGCGGGTCATCGGATTCCGGTAATTGTCGTCACTTTCGGCTCCTGTGGACCGAATATGGAGGAAGTCTCGAGCGGGTTGTCTGTGAGTGAACTGTGATGACGTCTCAAACGAGAGCACCCTCCCTATGGGGTTCGCGATTCATGTTGGTAATCCGAACAGGTCATTGGAACCGTGTAGCCGTCGTCACTTTTCGGCTCCTCTGGATTGAATATGGAAGAAGTCTCGAGCGGGAATTGTGTCTCTGAGTGAAGTGTGAGGAAAATATCAAACGAGAGTCCCCTCCCTATGGGGTCTGCACTTCATTGGTGATCACAACGGGTCATCGGATCGCACCTCGTGGTTTTAATCCGAACGGGTCACCAAAAACCTGAAACTGTTGCGTCACAAACCTGAATTTTGACGAAATCTTGAGCGGGAGCTGTCTGTTTGCAAATTGCGGGGAATTCTCAAGCGGGAACCCTCGCTATGGGAGCCCCATTTCCAACGTGGAATCCGAACGGGCCGCCGGCAAACCTGCAACCTGGAATCCGGCCAAACTCCTCTGGCATGAATACGGGCGGGGCGAAACCAGGTAGGGGAGTTGTCGACCGGGGGAGTACCCTGGGCGAACGGAAGGGGCAGGGTTGGGGAGGGGATGGGGAAGAAGGGGGAAAAGGAAAAAAGGAAGGGAAGGTCCCAAATGATAGGAGGTCCCAGGAACAGCAATCGAGGAGGAAGGCGGCGGCCGGGCGCAAGGGGAAATCCTTGCGTCCGGGCCGGGGGTGGCAACCCATCCTCGGCCAAATCGGGGGCAAGGAGACACCGTTGTCTCCGGGCTGGCGGAAGTAACGCATCGTCAACCGAAACGGGGGCAGGGAGAACCTGTCTCCGGGCCGGCGGTGGTATCCCATTGTCAACCGAATCGGGCGCAGGGAGAAACCCTTGCGTCTGGGCTGGCGGCGGTAACCCGTCCTCGGCCGAATCGGGGGCACAGGGGGAACACTTACCTCCGGGCTGGCGGCAACAACCCATTATCAACCGAATCGGGAGGGGGAAACTCTTGCGTCCGGGCTGGCGGTGGTAACCCATCCTCAGCCGAATCGGGCGCACTGGGAAACCCTTGCTAGCGGTGGTAGCCCTTCCTCAGCCGAATCGGGCACAAGGGGAAACCCTTGCGTCCAGGGCGCGGGCGGTGACCCATCCGCGCCCGAAACCAGGCCCTCCACAAAAACCGTCCTGTGTCGGCCTGAGCGACTACATGGCCCACGAGACGGTCGCCGGCGCGTTCGGCCTCCGACGGAGGCGCTCGCATGGCAAGAGCCGGCGCCGAGCGCCCCAGGCCTAAATGGCGCGCGGGTTTTTGATTCCACGGCGTTGGCCACGGCGCGACAAGCCGATTTTCCAAGCTGTCCACTCTGCCGCTCGAAGCCTTGTGCGGATGGTCTGGTCTGTTTTCCTGTAGCTAGCAGCAGAGCTGGACTTTGTGCTGCCACCCGCCTGACCGCGGCGGCGCCCCGCTCGAAGCCCGCGGGACTGTCCCAACGGCTTGGTCTCGCCCGCCAGCGGCTCGCGGGGTTGTCCCGACGGTTTGGCCCGCGGGGTTGCCCCAACGGCTTCGCAATGCGGCCATTACAGAACGCGCCCGTGCTGGCCGAAGCGGCGACGGCGCCGAGGAAAATCGGCACGCGAGTTCTTGCAATAGAAAGGGAAGGAGGTGGCGGGGGGTAAACAAAAAACAGGAGGGCGAGGAGGGGGCAACGTAGGGAGCGGGATGAGGGCATGCGCCAGGGCGAGAAGGAAAATGACGCAGATGAAACAGTAAGGTCGCCTCACCAATCACGAGGACGGTGAATGATATTTCCAGAGCAGCCGAGAGGATTCCCATGTGGGATCCGACAATTGGAATAATTGTTTGCAGGTGTGCCAGACGAAGCCACCCATACGTGTCAGGAGATACCTGAGAACCGAGGACCTACGTTAGGCAACGAATTCATCATGTGGTTCGGGTTATGTGTTCTACGATGCTTAATGAACACAGGGTCCCTGGGCACATCACAGACACAATCCCGAACACCTCATCGAGCCAAGTCTCGGCATGGCAACGAGGGGCCCGCCTGGCGGTCAGAAGGCTGCGGGCTACAGTGCCGCAGGCACAGCCGTAGTGCTGACATAAGGAGAGCCGACAAAGAAGCGATTCGGCTTTTCCGGCCACTGTGAGCCTCGGCTACGAGCAAGTTCCCCGACCCAGATCTGAGAAATAGCACAAAGAAACACAGCATCTCCCGAGCCCGAAGAGGTCCTTATCTCAGCGTCTCGACCGTAACCGCACGAACGACTATTGCTAGAAGGGACTGGCTGATCGCTCGCTGCGCATACGAAGTGTCAGCGGCGCTGATGGGACCGCTGGCGCCTCCTGGAGGCCCACCATCGCTAGAACTAAGTGCCGCGCTTGGGGTAGTAGTTTTGAATCCGATTCCTCCAGATCTACGCACCCCAAGGGTCAGGTCAAGGATTAGCGCACAAAATGTCGACGTCACCTTTTCTGCCACGATCAGTTGGGGAAATGGGAGCCTCAAAAGTCGTCTTACGCCCTCATCTGTCTGAAAAGGTCTAAGGGAGGGAGGGAGGAAGGGGAAGGGGAAGAAGAGGGAGGAAGGGGGAAGAAGATGGAGGGAGGGGAAGGAAGAGAGAGGGGAAGAGGGAGAGGAGGAGGGGAGGGGAGAGAAGAAGGAAGGGAGGAAGGAAGGAAAAACGAGGGAGGGGAGGGGGGGGAAAGGGAGGAGGCAGAGAGAGAGCCAGAGAGGGAGGCCTTGGAGAAAGGGAGAGTGGAGGCGCGATCCTTCAAACGCCCGCTCGTGCCCGCTCCGAGCGGCGAGCCCCTCCCGAGCCACGCCCCGAAAAGACGAAGCCAGGGCGAGGATCAGTTCGTGGGTGGACACATCGAGAACCTCTGAGACCCGACGGCTCTGGAGGATGCATCGGGCGCCGCGGCCTTCTCAGAGCGTTCGGGAATTCTCCGAGAGCGCTCCGGAACGCTCTGGAGCGGCTGCATCCTCGTCCCAGCCCCGCCCGACCCCCGCCCCCGAGCCTGGGCGCGCTGGGCGCTGGCTCCTCGCCCGCCGGCGGGGGCCAGGCGCCGCCCGCCTCCGCCGCAGCGCCCGCGCCGGCCGCAGCCGCTGCGCCGTCGAGGTCCTCGGCCTCCTCGCGGGCAGGCCCTGAGCCGACCTCGACGGCGACCTCTTCGACGACCTCCTCGACCACGACGACCGACCGACTGGCCGACCGACCGACCGACCGACCAGCGCCGCCGCCGCCGCCGCCTCACGGGCAGGCCCTCCTGGCTCCCTCTGCTCACAAACCAGGTCGACGAGCGGCGAGCAATGACAACGACGTCGCGCGGCGGCGCCGGCGACGGCGCCGAGAACACACGATGGCAAACAACGCACCGCCAACGACGGAAGACGGCGAGGAGCGGCGACGATGCGGCGTCGACGCGGCGCCTCCGCGGCTCTCTCTCTCTCTCTGCTCTGCCACAGCTTCGGGTTCTCCTGTACGCTTTCGCAGATTCCCAAAGTGTTTTTCGCCTCGGGGAGCTCTCCAGCAGGTGCGCCTCGCCGGAAAGGCGCCCGAGGGAGCCAGGCCACTCCCGAGTTGTGGCCTGAGACCTGAGGAGGGAGGAGGGCGGAGGGAGGAGGGAGGAGGGAGGGAGGAGGGAGGAGGGAGACCTGAATTGTGGCCCGAGAACCAAACGGCCAGCTCCTTGTTCCGTGGCTGCCACTCCCTGCCCCTTCCCCTCCCCCCTTCCCCCTCCCTGTGCATCTCCCTCGCTCCTCCCTCTCCCTCCCTCCCCCATCCCCCCTTCCCCCTTCCCTCCCCCTCCTCCCCTTCCCCCTCCCCCCTTCCCCCCTCCCTGCCACTCCCTGTGCATCTCCCTAGCTCCTCCGTCCCCATTCTCCCTCTCTCCTCCCTCCTGAGGGAGGGGGGAAAGATACCGATGCCGCTCCTTACCCGAGCTCTCCAAGAATTCTGACCCGGATTCCGAAGCGAATTCAATCGTGGCGAGAGGGACGCCTGCCTCTTACCTTCTTCTTTCCTTGTCCTCCCTCCCAATCATTCCATCCTCTCAATGCCGACCGAACTCACGAGACCAACGCCTGCAGGCCTTACAGGACTATCATGACGAGCACCAGCAGTAACATCGGCGTCATCAATATCAGCATCATCATCATCATCATCATCATCATCATCATCAGCATCATCATCATCGTCATCATCATCAACATCATCATCATCATCAGCATCAGCATCATCATCATCCTCATCATCATCATGATCACCATCATCATCATCATTGTCGTCGTCATCGTCATCGTCATCGTCATCATCATCAGCATCATCATCATTAGCAGCAGCAGCATCATCATAATCATCATCAGCATCAGCATCAGCAGCAGAAGCAGCAGAAGCAGCAACATCGCATCGTCGCGCCCCTTGGTGTGGCTTGGATACCCCCCTTCATCCGCGTCACCATACGTTGCATCATCAGCAGCATCGCCACCATCGTCATCATCATCGTCATCAGCATCATCCTCATCATCATCAGCATCCTTATCATCATCGTCATCGTCAGCATCATCATCATCAGCAGCATCATCATCGTCACCGTCATCGTCATCCTCATTGTCTTGATCATCACCATCATTACCACCATCCGTCATCATCACCCCCATCCATAATCATTAGCAACATCATCATCATCATCATCATCATCATCATCATCATCAGAATCGTCATAATCAGAATCATCATCATCATCATCATCATCATCATCATCATCATCATCATCATCATCATCATCATCATCATTACCATCATTACCATTAGTATCATAATCGGCATCAGCAGCAGCAGCATCATCATAACCGTCGTCAGCATCATCACCATTATCAAAATCATCACCACCACCATCAGCATCATCTTCATCATCATCACCATAATCATCATCGTAATAATCATCATAATTGTGTTCGTTATACAAGAGAAAAACCATAACCATAATATCTCTAGGACTATAGGGCTATAGGGTTAGAAGGCTATGGGGATATAAGGCTATAGGGCTATAGAGCTATAGGGTTATAGAGCTATAAGGCTGTAGGGCTATTGGGGCTATAGGGCTTATGGGCTACAGGGCTGTAGGGCTATAGGGCTATAGGGCTGTAAGGCTACAGCGCTATAGAGCTATAGGGTTATAGGACTATGAGGTATAAAACTATAGGGCTATAGGGCTATAGAACTATAGGGCTATATAAGGCCATAGGGCTGTTAGGGCTATAGGGCTATAGGGCTATAGGGCTATAGGGCTATAAGGCTATAGGCTATAGGGCTATAGGGTTAGAAGGCTATGGGGCTATAGGGCTATAAGGCTATAGCGCTATAGGGCTATGAGGCTGTAGGGCTATTGGGGCTATAGGGCTATAGGGCTACAGGGCTATAGGGCTATAGGGCTGTAGGGCTATGAGACTATGGGACTATAGGGCTATAGGGCTATAGGACTATAAGGATGTAAGGCTATAGGGCTATAGGGCTATAGGGCTGTAGGGCTATAAGTCTGTAGGGCTGTTAGGGCTATAGGGCTATATAGCTATAAGGCTATAGTGCTATAGGGCTATAGGGCTATAAGGCTATAGTGCTACAAGGCACCCGGGCACCCGGGCACCCCACGACACCCAGGCAACCGGGCAACCCCGCACCCGGGCCAGCCACCGAAATCGGCGACGAACCTCACCTAACCATATGAATCCACTAGGACCCCTACAGAGGCAAGCTCTGATTGGGGAATCATCATAGATCATAATCATCATCAAAATCATACGTTATATTATGACTAACAGGCCACTACAACCAGCATCACCGCCACTACCACCACAAGCATCACCATCACCACCACGACCACGATCGTCATCATCGTCATCATCGTCATCATCGTCATCATGGTCAGCACCGTCAGCGTCGCCGTCATAGTTCAGCGTCGGCCACCCTCCCCCTTCAAGCCCAACTTCCATTCCCTCCCCATCCTCCTCCTCCTCCTCCTCCTCCTCCTCCTCCTCCTCCTCCTCCTCCTCCTCCTCCTCCTCCTCCTCCTCCTCCTCCTCCTCCCCCTCATCCCCCTCCTTCAAGCCCCCCCCCAGCCAAGACTTTCTGCACTCGGGGCTGGACTAAGTACATGCAGCCTCCCGCGAACAATACCTCGTGGTGACTGGCTGACGCTCCCTATCTTGGCCAGCTCGCCGTATACTGCTTGAAGATTGTCCGATGCGCAGTGTGTCTCATGATTACGTGATGCGCAGTGTGTCTCATGATTACGGCTGCGTATTGGAACGGCACGGCTGCGAATGAAGCTCGGCTGCATGACCTCAGTGAGGAATTCAAACAGGTGGGCATCATCGCACTCACAAGTACGTGCGAGAAGGCTGCACCCGACCGGCCCGCTGTAGTCACGACGCTACGCTACCACGTCGATATCAAAAGCGGATACGTTCCAGGCAACTTTGTAAGCCGATATTGTGGTATCACCCTCCTTCTCAGGAAACGGATATTCAGTAAGAATATTGTTGATGCACCAGTTATTCCAATCTCCATTCGTGGACGTGAAGCAGTGTATCGGGTACGCTCTGGCAGACTCGATCTATTCATTCCTGCTACATATTTCCCCCCGAAGCCGTCTGGGCGTCAGGCTGACCGAAAAATTGAAACAACTGGCCCACAGGGGGTCTGCAGACAAACAAAGGGTGCAATATGCCCGTGACTTCAAAAGATGTTCACGTAGCCTCGTAAGCGATCATCGTTGTTATGGGTGGTCGATCTGAACGACTCGTTCGGCTAGAGACGGCCCGCTGGAAGAATACAGGAACCAGTTGTGTCGCGGGTCTTTGGCCCACATCGGGAAGGTGAGCAACGTTATGCAGCACACCGAGTACTCGAAATGATAGAACGGCACGCTGTGGCAGTGGTCTCGACAGACTTTGAGTTGGGCCACAGCTTCTACGGATCGTCGAGCATGTCACGAGTCGATGTTACTACGGTTTCCTCTTGGCAACAGCCTATGGTTGGCAGATGCACTGCTACAGGAAAATCCAACCAACGCTTGAATCTGATTTCAACAAGGTCGGGATGCAAACAGCCTCGCCACGTCGAACGCGGCGCGGATGGCGCGCACGGCTCGCCCCCGGCCAATACCCGCCACGGGGACGCCGTTCACCACGAGCGCCTCCAGGACTTGGCCCAGGTCGCCCTCCTGCACCGAGACTCGAAGCCCGTGACTGCGGCGGCCTCGTCGCCGCCCACGGCGGCCACCAGCGGATCGCCAAGGGAACCCCCGAGCCCCGAGTGAAGGGGCCCTGGGACACACACACACACACACACACACACACAAATCAATACACACACATATAAAATCATCCCCCACCTTTTCCCGTACTTTCTAGGCTTCTGCCCTCCGCCCCCACTGCCCGTACTCTTTCCTACATCTTCTGGGGAACCGACGACCCCATTGTGCCTGTGCGCTTTTCTCCCCCTCCCGACCAAAGGGCTCCCGCGGCGGTCGCGCGTGGCGGCCCCGCGCCGGGCGCCGCGAGACCCCCGCGGCGCTCGGCCGCCGCAGGCCCGCCCACGGGCACGGGGCCCCGGCCACGGCTCGCGGCCACGGCTCGCGGGGCCCGCGGGGTCCGCGCGGGCAGACCGCGGCCGACCTGCGGCAGCGAGCGCTGGGGCTCTGGGCGCCCGAGTTATCCGGGGCAACTCGGGTCCGGGGTAACTCGGGCTCGGATTCCCGAAAAGGGAACCCGAGTTAAAACCCTGACCCGAGTTACCCCTGATGATTCGGGGCTTTGAGGGGCGGAGCCGGGAGCAGTGGCCACGACGGGGGGCCACGCGCGAAGCCGATGCCCCGACCCTCCTGGGCTTCGGAGTGGGAGGGCGGGGGGTTCGCCTCGTTCGGGAGCTCCCGAGCGAAGTGCACCCCACGCTCCGCCTCAGAAATCGTGGGGGGTAGGGGTAGGGTTATGTCGGGCGTGTCCCCCTGCAGGGGGATTTTCGACGAGAAATAAAAAATACCCAAAAAATAATCAACAAATAATCAAAAAATAGTCTGGGCACTATTTGTTGAGCTAACCTTTTTGGTGCATAGTGGGGGAATTTTTCATTTTTCGTCGACAAATCCCCCTGTAGGGTGACAGGCCCGACTTAAGGGTAGGATTCGCATGTGGTCCCCTACACGAGCACCTCGACTCGCGCTCGCCCGGCTCCGAGCGCCCCACCTGCCCCCTTGCACTGTTGTCTGATGCACACGGAAACCATGAGGCCTCCTGTTGGAGAATCTGTGCGGTGGAGCTTCGTCCTCGCAGCTGGGATCTCAGCTATCCCTTGGGAATGACGGCAATTCGCCCTCACCACAGACGGGGTCCCCGATAGCTTCTCTTGGGAATGGCGGCATGTCGTCTCCCACGCGAATGCGGTCCCAAATAGCTCCTGCTGAGAATGGAAGCGTTCAGTCTTCGCCGCAAAGGGGATCCCTGAGAGTCTCTCTTGGGCAGAGGGGTATCTCGTCGTCTGAGAACCCTTAGGGCCTGTTATTCTGAGGCGCGTGTGCGAGCTGCCGCCGCTGCCTCTCTGCTCCCTCCTCGGCGTCCTCCCGAAGATAGGGCGTACAGTTTTGAGGAGCTCGTGCGAATGGCTTCGCGTTAGCTGCTGCGCCCCTAGTCCTCCTCCTACGCGTTCTTTTCTTCCTTGGCCAAGTAGCGCAAACGAGGTCACATTTTGAGCCCGTGGATGGTCGTGGTCCTGGGGTGCTCCTGGGGCCGCCATTCGTCTGCCCGGACCTCTGAAGTCCGAGACTGCTCAGCATTTTTATCGTCATGCTCACTATGCAACCGCTGGTGAGGGGCCGTCCTTTCGACGTCATCACGAGATGCACGCACGGTAGGTCGCTCATTGCTGACTGTCTGTTGGCAATGTGTGTGTCGTCGTTCGATTTCGCTCGACCTTCGGCCCAGCACCGATCCGCCGCCGCCGCCCACGTCCTTGTCCTTATCATCCTGCTCCTTCTCCTCCTCCTCCTCCTCCTGCTCCTCCTCCTCGCCCTCCTCCTCCTCATCCTCCTCGCCCTCCTCCTCCTCCGTTTCGTCCTGCTCTTCCTCCTCCTCCTCCTCCTTCTCCTTCTTCTTCTTCTTCTTCTTATTATTCTTCTTCTTTTTTTTCTTCTTATTCTTCTTATTCTTCTTCGTCTTCTTATTCTTCTTATTATTCTTCTTCTTATTATTTTTCTTCTGCGTCTTCTTATTATTATTATTATTATTATTATTCTTATTATTATTATTATTATTCTTATTCTTACTATTCGTCTTATTCTTCTTATTATTCTTCTTATTATTCTTATGTTTCTTCTTATTATTATTCTTATTCTTCTTATTCGTCTTCGTCTTCTTATTCTTATTATTCTTCTTCGTCTTCTTAGTCTTCTTATTATTATTATTATTATTATTATTCGTCTTCTTCTTATTATTCTTATTATTATTATTCTTCGTATTCTTCTTCTTCTTATGATTCTTCTTATTCTTCTTATTATTCTTCTTATCCTTCTTATTATTATTCTTCTTCTTATTCTTCTTCTTATTATTCTTATTCTTATTCTTATTATTCTTATTATTATTCTTCTTATTATTCTTATTCGTATTCTTCTTCTTCTTCTTATTATTATTATTATTAGTAGTCTTCCTCTTCTTATTATTATTCTTATTCTTCTTATTATTCTTATTCTTATTATGCTTCTTCGTCTTCTTCTTCTTAGTATTCTTCTTCTTCTTCTTCTGCTTATTCTCCTCCTCCTCCTCCTCCTCCTCCTCCTCATCCTTCTTCTTCTTCTTCTTATTATTATTATTAGTATTATTATTCTTCTTCTTCTTCTTCTTATTCTTCTTCTTATTCGTCTTCTTCTTCTTAGTCTTCTTCGTCTTCTTATTCTTCTTATTATGCTTCTTCTTATTCTTCTGCTTCGTATTAGTTTTCTTATTATTCTTATTCTTCTTATTATTCTTCTTATTATTCTTCTGATTCTTCTTATGCTTCTTCTTATTCTTCTTATGCTTCTTATTATTCTTATTATTATTCGTCTTATTCTTCTTATTCTTATTATGTTTCGTCTTCTCCGTCTTCGCATTCTTCTTCTTCTTCGTCTTCTTATTCGTCTGCTTCGTATTATGCTTCTTCTGCTTATTATTATTATTATTATTCTTCTTCTTATTATTATTCTTTTTCTTATTATTCTTCTTATTAGTATTATTATTATTCTTCGTCTTCTTATTATTCTTCTTCTTATTTTTCTTCTTCTTCTTCTTCTTATTCTTATTCTTATTATTCTTCTTCTTCTTCTTCGTCTTCTTCTCCTCCTCCTCCTCGCCCTCCTCGTCCTCATCCTCCTCGCCCTCCTCCTCCTCCTCGTCCTGCTCCTCCTCGCTCTCCTCGTCCTGCTGCTGCTCGTCCTCGCCCTGCTCTCCTGGCCCTCGGGCAGCCCGGGGCCGTCGCTGTCGCCGCCCGAGCTCGCGGCCAGCTCGGGGGCCGCGGCCTCGTCCTCCTCGTCGCTGGACACCTCTTGGGAGGGGAGGCCCTCTCCCGCCTCCTCGCCCTCCCCCTCCTCCTCCTCCTCCTCCTCCTCCTCCTCCTCCCTCCTCCTCCGCCTCCTCCCCTCCTCTTCCTCCTCCTCCTCCTCCTCCCCCGCCTCCTCCGCCTCCTCCTCCTCCTCTTCCTCTTCTTTTGCCTCCTCCCCCTATTCCTCCTCCGTCTCTTCCTCCTCCTCCTCCTCCTCCGCCTCCTCCTCCTCCTCATCATCCTCCTTTTCCTACCCCTGACGAATAACTCCTCCGTCACACCACCAGACTGATCCGTAGGCCAACCCGGGCGTTTTGGAACGAGACTTTCCCACGATCTACGAGTCCGGAACTGAAATCTTCCAACGAGTGCACGGTTGGAGGCTGGGTCCTTTGCGAGATGGGGCTCTCGCCAGAGTGTCACGCGCATTCGTGTTAAAAGCTTGCAACAGCTGCACGGAGGCAAGGCGATTCGATTTCACAATGGGCTCTCTCCCCAGCGCCGCGCATGTTCGTCTTCAGATAATGAAGTAGCTTCAAGGATGAAGGACGACTCCTCTTCGAAATGGGGCTCTAGTTTGAGACTCTAGCACAATTAAGTTTGAACATGTTTTCAACATGGAATTTTCGCACGAGCCCTCCTCAAATGTGTGTCCATAAATGTAAACCGTCGCGCCTGCTACACGCACAGGCGGGCGGCCCCCTTTTCAAAACGTGGCTCTCGCTGGTCACCTCGTTGCGGTGTATGATTAGAGGCCTCCTAGATGGGGTCAGAGTAGATGGGGTCTGAGGATCGCGCCGTATCGCCGATACATCGGCAATGTATCGGCGATGCATCGGCGATGCATGGGCGATGCATGGGCGATACATCGTCGACGTCGGCGATACATCGGCGACGTCGACGTGAAGCAAATCGGGCTGCACATCGAGCCTCATCGCCAATGCCTCGGCGATGCGGCGCGATCCTCCGACCTCATCTGATCCGTGCACGGTTTCCCACAGGGCCGTAGGCGACCCGAGGAGGAGGAGAAGGAGGAGGAGGTGGAAGAGGGGGAGGAAGAGGAGGAGATGAAGGAGGAGGAGGAGGAGGACGGGCCGCATAAGCTCTTCAGAGAAACCCTCCACTGCTCCGACCCCATGCAGGCCTAGAGTTAGGTCGGGCACGTCCCCCTACAGGTGGATTTGGGGCGAAAAACAAAACATGCCCCAAAAATACTCCACAAGAACGGCTGAACAACCATCGAAAAATCGCCCCTGGGCTATCTCTTAGAGTCTATGTCTGAGGACTCCTCCTGGAGAGGGGCGTGCCAGACTTAAGCCTGGAGTGATCCTACCTCGCCACACGCCTGCTGCTTCGCTGGCAGCCAGGCGAGGCACGCCGCTCCCTCGCCGCGGAGCGCTCTCCGCCGCCGCGGCAGGCCCGCGGGGGGGGGGGGGGCCGGCCCCTCCGGGAGAGGCGCCCGCTGCAGAGGCGAGGGGAGCGCGCGGAGACCCGCGGGGAGGGAACATTCGGCGGCGAGCGAGGCCCGTTGGCAAAATGAATACACGCGACCTTGAGACGCCGCCGGCCAGGGCTTCCGCGGACCAGGCGCGCGGGCGACAGATCCACGCATCGGGGGAGCCGCCCCCCGGAACACGAAACCGCGCGAACCGCCTGCTTGACCTTGAGATGATGTCGGGCATGTCCACCTACAGGCGGATGCTGGACGAAGGACAAAACATGCGCAAAACATAACACCCCAAGATGATCAAGAATGGTCAAAAAAAGTCGTCCCCTGACTGTCACATCTGTAGGGGTCCTAGTGGATTCGTATGGTTCGGTGAGGTACGGCGCCGATTTCGGCGGCACGCCCAGGTGCCTGAGTGCCCGGGTGCCCAGGTGCCCGGGTGCCTGGGTGCCCTGTGGCCCTATAGCCCTGTAGTCCTATAGCCCTACAGCCCTATAGCCTTACAGCTCTACAGCCGTATAGCTCTATAGCCCTACAGCCCTATAGCCCTATAGCCCCATAGCCCTACAGCCCCAATAGCCCTATAGCCCAAAAGCATTATAGCCCTATTCCCCTAATAGCCCTATAGCCCTATAGCCTTATAGCCCTACGTATAGCCCTACGTATAGCCCTATAGCCCTGTTGTCCTATAGCCCTAGCCCTATAGCCCTAAGGCCCTATAACCCTATAGCCCTGTAGCCCTATAGCCCTATAGCCCTAGCTTTATGGCCCTATAGCCAGTAGCCCTATAGCCCTATAGCCCTATAGCCCCATAGCCCTATAGCCTTCAAAAGATTATGAGTGGGGCTTTTCTGCTGTATCATGGTTTGACTATGTTTGAATACTCCTCATGTACAGGGACGTGCCCGACTTAGCCTTACGACGACCCAACTCCCCTCATGAAAGATGGCATCGACGTGCTCTGATCGTCCAGCTTGACTGTCTCAAGTTGATTTCGGCGGCGAGCCCCGGAGGGAAGTGAGAAGAAGGATGCCTTCTTAGAAGGCTCGAAGTCCCCCGCCTTCTGGGAGGGTTCCTGAGCCTCCCCCGTAAACGCAGAGTACTTCTCAGAAGGCGCGGGGGTTTCTGAGAAGTCCCGCCGCCTTCTCAGAAGGCCTTCTTCTTCTCACTTCCTCCCCTCGCTTGCCGCCAAAACTTGGGACGGAAGGGTGTTATTCGGCAATGTTGTTGCACCCTGGGCGTACTGTTTGTTATCCCTGCTCCGCACATTACACATAGAGCCCCCCTGCAGCATGCTGTAGGGCCTCAGGGCTAAAGAGCTAGTGGGTTATAGGGCTAGTGGGCTATAGGGCTATAAAGCTATATGGACATAGGGCAATTGGGGCTATAGGACTAGAGGGCTATAGGGCTATAGGGCTATTAGGGCTATAGGGCTTTAGGGCTATACGGCTAGGGCTATAGGGCTATAGCGATATAGGGCTAGAGGGCTACAGGGCTACGGGGCACCCGGGCGCCCAAGCACCCAGGCACCTGGGCGGGCCGCCGAAGTCGGCGACGCAGCTCCCGGGCTCCCGGGCACCAGGGCACCCTGGCACCCGGGCGGGCCGCCAAAATCGGCGGCGCACCTGACGTGACCATATGGATCAGCCAGGACCCCTTACAGACGCAAGCTCTGATTGGGGAAAAAGGGTGCCGATGATGGTGACGATAACGGCGATGATGATGACGATGATGGTGATGATGACGATGATGGTGATGATGATGGCCACGCTGACGTTGATGATGCTGATGCTGATGATGATGACGATGATGACGATCAAGATCACGATGGCGATTACGATGATAATGATGATGATGATGATGACAGATGCTGATTGGCGATGATGATGATGATGACGAGGATGGTGATATTGATGACGACACGATTATGATGATGATGAAAATGAGTATGATGATGAGTATGATGATGATGCTGATGATAAAAATGACGATGATGATGATGTATGCATGTATGTTTGCTCCTCGAAAACGGGTCTCGGCCCTCTGAGAGTTGGGAGAAGCTGGACGCATGCGAAATGGCACTAAAGCAAAGAGATGGCAAAAACTCACTAGATCTCGAAAACGACCGCCAATCGACAACCGCACTCATGCGATGCGCCCACACTGGTTGGGAGGCCAAGCAATTCCAAGGTTGGTAGACATGGGGACACCGAGAGAGGAAAGATCCCCACCTCCAGGGGCGCAGCTTGCGGGCGCGGCCTTGTCGACCGCGTCCGAGAGCCACCTCCTGTGCACGCAAAAACCTGGCGTCTGTGAGCGGGGGGGGCTGAGGGGAGAGGCGCGCGGGGTCACGTTCACACATGGTTTCTAGATGCCCCCCCCGCCCACCTATACTGCATCTCAGCCAAATACCTGTCCCAATCCTGGATGCCCGGCCGTCTCCTGGTCGAACTTATGTTTGAGCGTGTGTCTCGCATGGACCCCTCCCAGGGCGCGTGGCTCTTCTTTCGGAAACCGAAGACCCGTCGGCGCAAGGTGTCCTGCAGGCCTCTCAGCTTCGCGAACTGGTCATGTCTGAAGGCCCACCCCTTGGCACCCCAGAACAAGCCATTGCGCACCAGGTTGTCGCACAAGAAGAGGCGATTGTCCAGCGGTGCGGCTCGACGGCACAGAACACCTGCGAAATCCGATGTTCCAATGCTCCGTCACCACGACCGTCGCGAGACATATTCGCCCCCAGGAACTCGATCGCTTCGCCCATTGAAATTCTTTCGGCCAGGACCACCGTTTCGTTCCAGCGTGGAGCTTCGGGAAAAGATGCGCTCGACCACTGACGCTCACTCAAGTTCACCTTGCAACCTCCCTCCTCCAAATTCTGCAACCAGCTAGTCGCCATGATCTTCATCTCCTTCCTCGCCCCCCCCCCCCCCAGGATCCAGAAATTATCGGCGAAGCACAGAATCGGGATCAACAAGTCCTGGCCAGGGTCCTCCTGGCGAGCCTTCCACCGAGACCCCACTCGCGTCGTTCGCATCGGCGTGCGAACGTGTCTAAGGGGGCGCCCAGCCGCAGGTTGAAAAGGTAGGGGGCTGCCGGGTCGCCCTGCACCAGCGACCGAGATCGCGCAATGGGAGCGGAGCGTGTCATATCGCCGAGTGATACTGTGGCCTTCATCCTGCGCACCTCCCTCAACCATCCCGCCAGGAGTATCTCGGGGATGCCATGTTGCACTCCCGCCGCGGCCGCTCCTGCACGATCTGCGTAGCCATGGGCCTTCAAAATGTCGCCTGCAAAAATGAACAGCGGGCACTCTGGGTCCCACTCGCAGCATTTCTCGATCAATTGTTGAACGATGAAGATAACCTCCTCAGCCTAGGAACCCGATCGAAACGCGGAAAGATATCTCGAATAATTTCTTCGTTCAGGTGTCAACAGGAGCAGCAGGCAGTGGCTATACCACATGTAGATCACTGGCAACGGCGTGATCGGGCGGGGGTCCACGTTGCTTCCCCTCACACTAAATCCCGTCTTTGTCAGCAAGTTGATGACGAGCT